TGTCTGATTCATCAGGCAAAACAGTGCCTGGGAACAAGCAGGAATTCCATAAATACTTGCAGAAGGCGCTGAATGGAGCTGCAGGAGGGGAGAGAATCTTTTGGGCTGAGAGCTGGGCTGATGGCATTCTTTGTAGTGACTAGTAACAGGTTGCTTGTTGCTATTTATCGTCTACCCTCCAATCCCAACCACAGCGCTGGCTTCCCTCCGTCAACGGTGGGGACTCAAGGAATTTTGTTTGGATATTAACAGAAAGGGCCTCCAGAAGACTGAAGAACTCAGGAGCGATCAGTTTCTATGGCTGTAAGGAATTACCTCCCACATTTGACGTGGCGTCATCACAGCGATAGCTGGCAGGTGGACGGCACAAAGCCTTTCCCTTAGTAGATGCTCAGTAAATACCTACTGAACTGAAATAAGTAATGTGACAGGAATGTCTGTGAGGTGCAAAAAAGAGGGGAATACAATAGCTGAGGATCTAACTTCCGCAGAAACTGAAATTCAGGTTCAACTTCAGCCGCAGTATCACCCTGGCGTTCTCAGCAAATAGCTCAGCTTTTTTGCACACATCCTTTACGGGCTTTGGGTCCACCTCATTTGTATTCTGCCTGGGGAGCTGAACACGAGACCCAGATTGAGACCATGACATTTATATCTTCCCCGTAACATTTTCCTAAAGCCTGCCGAGCTGTAATGCTGCCTCCAGGGTGCTGCAGTGGGTGGGGTGTGGTAGAGCATCAGCGTGGTCCTGGCCCTCTGGTCCAGCTTACAGCCGCTGCGGGGTTGTGAATTTACAGAGGATGTTAAGAAACATTAGGGGCTGTGGAGGAGAGTGCGTCCTAAGCCTTGGCGTAAACCGGGTTCCACCTGGTGGGGAAGGACACTGAATGAATCCAGTGTCAGAACATGGGAATTCCAACATCTCCAACTGCATGACCTTGAGCCAACTTGCCTCACTGCTCGGCAAGGTCGTTTGAAGACCAAATGAGAAATCCATATACAAAGTGCTTTAAAAGTGGAGGATAGCGAAGCCCTTCCGATGAATATACTGGAAACGGTTTGCCTGCTGGCAAACGGCAGGCCGTAGGTTCGGAGCTGGCCTCAGTCAGATGCTCTGTTTGTTGGTGAGGGTCTCCCCCGGCAAGCGCTTGCTGATCCACTTTGGTGAGAGAGGTGAGGGGTCGGAGCCATCGCTCTGGCCTCCAGCAAACCAGCCCCTTGATGCGCAGGCTCCATGTCCGGCTGGTTGCAGGCCTCGGTTCATTCCTGAGGGCAGGCGGCGTCTGGTTGATGGACTCCAGCCAGAGCCTTCCCGGGAAAGCTTCTGAACGGCCTGCTGACCTCGGAGCGGGTGTCTCGGAGGGACTGTCTCTGCCTGTGGCTCTCTTCTGTGGAGGCACAAAGGGCCACAGGGTGGTCTTCTGCCCCCTGACGTCCATGCTGGGGCGGGACGCCCCCTACAGGCAGGGCCGTGTCTCCTCTGACTCTGCATCTCCAAAGTTTCAGTTGGGGGCGGAGCCCAGCATCGTAAAAGCTCTTTTCTGGTTCACCGAGCAGTCCCGGGCAGGTGTTCACGCCGGTGGGGACTTCCAGGGACTCGGGCTGAAGCGGGGCTCCCGTCCTCAGCACCCAGCTTCCCCAGCCGCCATGTGGTTTCCCACCGGCCAACCGGAAGGGAGGGCGCAGAGGGGGCGCTTGGGGACTCAAAAGGGCAGGCTTGAAGAGAGACCCTTTTCCTCACTTCCCATTGGCTAGAACCAGCCACGTGGCCTCAGTCGCTGCGAGGGTGACTGTGAAACGACGCAGAAGAAGAGAAAGTGCATTTCGGTGGACAGCTGTTTGCCCACATCCAGGGACAGGGTCTAGTGGAGCGGAAGCGCTCATCGCGTGCTCGCTGTAACGTGCGTGTGCATGTGTGCGTGTGTGTAGTAGGAGTGTAACGTGCATGTAGTGATGGTGGCAGCACCAGTGGGCACGTGGTGTTCAGAGAATCCGACAAAAGTTGTCGACTTTCTGTCCACTATCTCTATGTACCTCATCACGCTGCGAATCATTTCATTAAGAGAGATTATTTACTTAAATTCAAGTTCATTAACATATAGTGTAGTATGGGTTTCAGGAGCAGAACCCAGTGATTTAGCACTTACATATGACACCCTATGCTCGTCTGAACAAGCACCCTCCATAATGCCCATCCCTCGTTTAACCCATCCCCCCACCCACCTCTCCTCCAGCACCCTCAGTTTGGTCTCCGTATTTAAGGGTCTCTTATGGTTTGCCTCCCTTTCTGTTTTTATCTTATTTTTTTCTTGCCCTTCCCCTATGTTCATCTGGAAAACCATTTCGTTTAATGCTTATTGTCCTCACAGGGTCCAGGGCGCTAAGCAACAAGCTAGAGATCACTTCTAAATAATATCAGGTTCCTGCGTGCAAGGCACTTACAGCCTGTGTAACGAAGGGCATCCGGTGTCTTTCTATTAAACTAGCTCTTCTTCCAGATACTCTTGTGTCCATAACCAGAGTTGTACCCTCGTCAATGGATTTATCTAAAATCCTTTAACCGCTGAAGCATATGTTGAAGCCCTCGATGGAATATTAATCAAAATTTTGTTCTGGGCTCTGGAGCCCTGATTGAAAATGCATTTGTGTAAGTAGCCTTTTTAGGAAAATTACACATCTTACACTGGAGCGGGTAATCAAGCCTTCCCCGCCCCTCACAATGGAAATGCAGAGATGGCAGCTTATCCACATGAAAAACAGGCTGATTTTATTCTAATGAGAACGCAGGGCTAGATCTATTACAGACAAGTGTGCAACGTCAGTGAGGTCTTTCTTTTGATTTTGATGAACAGTTACACGAAAATACCCTAAAGCTTTCCTGCTGCCCTTGTGAGGATCAGAAATGGCTCTTGATACAGTATCAGTTTCCACCTTAGAAAGGGAGCCGCTTTCTGGGGAACAGAATACACAAAATCTGAAGAGTCAGGAGGAAATGGGCAGAGCCCAGGCGGATAGCAGGGACAGTCTAGGGTGAGGCCATCCAGCACATCGCCTCTCTGTGCAGACACCCCTTCAGGTTAGCAACATGAGAGCCTGATTTAGACATGACCCTGAAGAGTGGTGGAAGACAATTCCAGAATCTCCACTATTCTTACTCCGCTCTGTTAGGAGATTCCTATTTATGCCTTTCCTGCATTCATCTTAGAAGTTACAGGTGACTGTCAGTTGTAGGGACTGGTGTGGGGAGAAGAACAGGCAATAGAAGATGGTAGATTAGAGCCTCCTGATGTTTTAAACTTGGAATCTGTAAATATGGATTTCTCGTGCCCATCTGAAATTAAAATATTGTTAGTAAAGAATGTCTGATCTCTGGAGAAGAAAGTGAATGAGTGTATAAGTGAAGGCATAGGCCCCAGAGTCGTCATGAATATTTTAATTATGTAAGGGATTAATTTATTTCAAATGTCTTTTCTGCCCTTGGTGTGTGCTGGCTAAGCAAGCAGTTAATTCTGTTTTTAAGATGCCAGTCTCTCTTTTCCCCAGGGGAGCAACAGACCTATATCTTCAAAGTGTAAACAACTTAAAAAATTTTTTTAACATTTATTTATCATTGAGAGACAGAGACAGAGTATGATCATGGGAGGGGCAGAGAGAGGGAGAGACACAGAATCTGAAGCAGGCTCCAGGCTCTGAGCTGTCAGCACAGAGCCCCATGCGGGGCTCAAATTCACAAGCTGTGCAATCATAACCTGAACTGAAGTCGGACGCGCAACCGACTGAGCCACCCAGGTGCCCCTCAAAGTGTAAATTTCTAATCACAGAGGTAATAAAAACTATACATAGGCTGTTAGAATGTCAAATGCTATGAATATTTAGACTTTATCTAGGAGTATTTGTTCTGAAAATAGTTACAAACAGAGAGGAAGGAAGGCAAACCATAAGATACTCTTAAATACAGAGAACAGACTGGGGGTTGATGGGGGAGGTGGGGGAGAGGGGAGATTGGGTGATGGGCATTGAAGAGGGCACTTGTTGGGTGCACTGGGTGTTGTACGTAAGAAACGAACCTCAGGAATCTGCCCCAAATCCAAGAGCACACTTTACACACTGCACGTCAGCCAATTTAACAATAAATTATATTTTTTCAAAAAAGTGTATTTGTTTTGAATTTCAAGTTTAACTAAGAAAGCCACACCTCCCTCACCCCTCTTCTTTCCCACTGATGGCCAAGGAGAGAGAAACTTCCAAAGTATTCCCAAGAGAGAGGAAAGAGTGGAACTCATCTGCCATACATCTCTCAGACTCTGAGGAAAAAAAAAAAAATCTGTGCTGTGTTTGGGGACCTAACAAGAGTAGAGAATTAACAATGGGTCTCATGTGGGTCACACTCCACCAGTCCCAGCCTGGGGTGAGGCCACAGGAATGGATGTATTGTGATTGCCCACACTCAGGCTGTTTTCACAGGGCACAACTGGCCTCCCTGGCCCCTGAATTTGCAATGGTTCACTACGACTTCAAGGGATCTGCTGGGAAGGTGCATATGATGGACTGGAAAGGAAGGGAGGGGGAGAGAGAGGAGAGCCCAGAGGAGCTGAATCACCTGGCCCTGCTGGCCAAGGCATTATTGCAGCCACCTGTGGAAGAATTGCACTCGCTTTTAACAAAGAATGTACACAGTTGAAATTCTCTTAAATGTGGTTAGCTTGCAGAAAATTTGAACCCATTAAAACCACTCACACCAGGGGTGCCTGGGGGGCTCAGTCGGTTAAGCATCTGACTCTTGGTTTCAGCTCAGGTCATGATCTCATGGTTCGTGAGGTCAAGCCCCAACATCAGGCTCTGCGCTGATGCCACGGAGCCTGCTTGGGATTCTTTCTCTCTCTCTGTCCCTCTCCTGCTCTCTCTCTTTCTCTCTCAAATAAATAAATAAACAAAAAATAAATAAAACTACTCACATCAAAACTGAATACTAGCTGAATTTTTAAAAAAAATCATTGGGATTGTCAGGTAGGAAAATCTTTACCTGTTCCTTTTGTCGGAGGGCAGATTGGATCATGATGATTGAAGTTTGCATGATTTGGGATTAGCGTTTCTGCATACAGTCAGGACTTTGGACACACTGACTGATCCTATTTGACTTTTCCTGGAAAAAAACCAACAACAGTGGCTACTGTGACAGGTAAAGCTCTTTTCATGTTTGCGTGTTCTATTCAATCCTTTTTTCCAAAGTGTCTACTTACATCCTTTGCCCACTTTTCTCTTGTGGTGACTGTCTCTTAATTATTGATTTGTAAAAGCTTTTTCTATAAGGACACTAACTTTGGTCAATTTTGTTGTAAGTAATTTATCATAGGTCTTTCAACTATTCTGATTATATAGAAATCATTTTTATTATTTAGCCATTTATGTCTTCATATATACCAATTATTTTCCTTTCAGGGGTTCTGGCTTGGGAGTTATAGTTAGAAATTAATGTTCATTTTATTTATTTAATTTTTAAAAAAAATTTAATGTTTATTTTTGAGACCGAGAGAGAGAGGCAGAGCACAATCAGGAGATGGCAGAGAGAGAGGGAGACACAGAATCCAAAGCAGGCTCCAGGCTCCGAGCTGTCTGCATAGAACCTGACGTGGGGCCTGAACTCACAAACTGCAAGTTCATGATCTGAGCCAAAGTCAGACACTTAATTGACTGAGCCACCCAGGTGACCCCAGGTTCATTTTAAAATTACAGAATCATTCACTAAATTGATTAGGGGGTGCCTGGCTGGCTCAGTTAGTGGAGTATGCGACTCTTGATCTCGGGGTTGTGAGTTCGAGCCCCAGCTTGGGTATAGAGATTACTTAAAAATAAAATCTTTAAAAACATAAAATACATTTTTCTCCTAATAGTTTCATATTTTTATTTTTAAATATATATATTTAAATCTTTATTGTCTCATAAGATATGAGTTCAGGTTTTAACCTCCTCCTGCCCAAAATGCCGTGTTAGTTTTCCTAACAATATGCATTGGATTTCTTTCTCATTTTTCCATTAGGTTAAATTCATATGGATGTGTGGACCTCAGAGTGGACTTTGACTCTGTGTATCTGTTCTGATGTCAATTATACTATAGCTCTAGAATTATAGAGATTATTAGGGTATGTCCCAATCATTACTTTTCAATTTTTTGGACTAGTCTCATATGCTTTCTTCCAAATGAATTTTAAATGTGTATGATCTTTCCCTTTGTTTCAAGAAGGGCCCTGTTTGTTTAGTACATATGGTAGTCAGAATAATGCCCCCTAACCCCAAGAGATATTCCTGCCCTAATTCTCAGAACCGTGAACTTGTTAGCTTATGTGGCAAAGGGACTTTGTTGATGTCATTAAATTTAAAGATCTTGAGGTGGAGAGATTATGGGTCATCTGGGTGGGCTCAGTGGAATCACAAGGGTCCTTTGTAAATGGAAGAGAGGCAGAAGGCGGGCATCAGAGGGATCTGGGAGAATGGGTGAGTGGTCAGGGAGGTACAACCATGCTGGCTTTGAAGACAGAAGAAGGAACCACAAGACCAGAAATGTGGACAAGCTCTAGGGGCTGGAAAAGGCAAAGGAATGGAATCTGCCCAGCACCCCTTGATTTTAGGACGTCTCGCCTCCAGAACTATAAGAGGATAAATTTGGTTTGTTTAAGCCACTACATTCATGGCGTTTCTTTCTTATGGGAACAATAGGAAGTAAAACATTATTCTTTCTAAATTCCTCTGCACCTGGGAATCTATTACTCTCACATGTAAATGATAGCTTGATAAATTAAAAAATTGGGTTTCAGTAATTTCCCCTCGAACTTGTGGAGATCTTGATATGTTGATTCTTAGCACTCTGTCCTGCAAAAGATAATCAGACTGTTTTTACGTTATTTTCAAAATTATTTCTATAAATAGTGCCTCTACTCCCTCTACAACATTTTCTGCTGCTGAGAATTCTTTTTATAGTAACTATTAGAGTTGTCAAAATCTCATACTATTGGGTTGTTTGTTTGTTTTTTTTTTTGATCAACTGCTATAATACAGTGTTTTATCACAGTTTGGTAATGCATGACTTCTTATACTTCTCAGGGCAAAAGGAAGCAAGCTGTCACAGAAATAAACAGCACACTGAGATCGCAACTCCTGAGTCCATGGCATACGTGCTACAATCTCAGTGATCACGCCATCCATATGCACTTCATATTCGTTTCATTTTGTGCAAATCTAAGCCTTGGATCTAACCAATGTGGTTACTAGAAAACTAACTCCATCATTTGCAGATTAATGGCTAAGTAAAAACAAAAATATATATAAGAAATAGAGGTGACTGAGCTCATTTCGTGCTTCCTGTGTTGGGAACTTCCCCCTAAAAGCATTTGTAATGAGTCATGTGTTCAAACACACACTTGAGTGAAGGGGAATAATGAGAAGTGGAAACCAACAAGGCATCAGGATTTTTCTGGAAATGACTCAGAAAAGGCTTTTAAAGAGAGGTTTTTGTCATGGCTTCATGAAGTGTAAGCACCCTGTGACTAAGCTTGTTCTAACGAGGCACACACGCTTGCATGAGGCAGGGACTCTGGATAACTGAGAAATGGACTTACTCTATCCACAGGTTGGCCTCTGTAAAAGCTAGGTAAAATAGTCATATGTGTATAACAAACAACACCAAGAAAAAAGCCACTTGTGTTTATTTAGAATATACAAGAGTCATGACTGCAACAACCCCAAGTAAACTGTGCTCTGGGGCAAGATTGTTGGGGAATTTCATGAGGCAATATGTTTCTTAATCCAAACCGAATTAAACATAGGCATCAGTGGGCGCAAACATTACTCAAGACTGTAGGGTAGCTTTTGTTGATTTTGAAAATGTAATACTTTTTTTAAAAATCTCCCATGGAGATTTTTAACTCAGTAGGTTAAGCATCTGACTTTGGCTCAGCTCATGATCTCACAGTTCATGAGTTCGAGCCCCATATTGGGCTCTCGGCTATCAGAGCCCACTTTGGATTCTCTGTCCCTCCCCCGCCCCCGCCCCTCATCTGCTCTCTCTATCAAAAATAAATAAAACTTAAAAAAGAATCTCCCATGGAGACCTCCTAGAAACTTCTGAACCAATGAAACACATGTTACTTCAGATTATTGGGGGTATAATTGATGCACTTATAAGCTTATGATTTACTACAGTTGTTTTAGATCTAGGTGTGTTCCCAAGATGGTACCAGATGTAGAAGTGATGTAAAGAATAGAGGTTGAGGGTGCGTGTTGGGTGAAGACCAGGTGTAAAGAAGTCTTCCTTTGAGATTTCTGCTGAGTCGTGTTAAGAGTGTTGAAATGGTTAGGACCACAACTCCTTGTGTCTGACTGAATTCACCATTACCACTGTTATTCACCTCACCAGACGTCCTACACAGCCCTCACTGTGCTCTCTCCCATCTTCACACCATTCTGTTATCACCGCTATGACCACCTCAGCTCAGGTCTTTATAACTCCTTACTACATTAAAAATGGGCCAGTGATTTGAACAGACACGTCACCAAAGAAGACAATGACCAACTAACACACTTTGAAAAGATGCCCAGGGTCACTGGTCTTCAAGAAAGTGAAAATTAAAACCACAACAAGGTATCACTCCCTATCTAAATGAAAATGAAAGAAACAGACAGCACCAAAAGTTGGCCAGAATGTGGAGCCCCAAAAGTCTGGCACATTGTATGTGAGAGCAGAAGAAATACAACCGCTTTATAGAGATCTCTGTGGTGGATTCCTGTGGAATTGAACACAAGTGCGCTCTGAGCAAATCCTCTCCTAGGTATTTACCCAAGAGAAGTGAGAACATATGTCTATGAGAAGGCTTGTACCAGAATGTTCATAGCAACTTTATTATAGCCTCAAACTGGCAGCAGTCCAAATGTTCATTAGCAAGAGAAATGACAAACAGATTTTTGTTTATTCATACAATGGAGTGTGTCTCAGCAATAGAAAGAAATAAACCACTGATGGATTGTGAAGACATATGGAGAGCAAAGAAGCCCAGACACTTACATACGGTACAGTTCCAGGTATATGAAGTTCAAGTACAGGCAATGGTGATCGACGGTGAGAGAGATCAGAATGGTGGTTGCCTCTGGGAGTAAGAATGATTAGAAGGCAGGGGCCTTGGGTGGGACAGTTTTCGGGAATCCAACTCTTGATTTCAGCTCAGGTCATGATCTCGAGGTTCGTGAAATTGAATCCCACTTTGGGCTATGAGCGTGGAGCCTGCTTGGGATTTTTTCTCCCTGCCTCAACCTCCCTTGCAGGCACACTCATGTGTTCTCTCTCTCTCTCTCTGTCTCTCTCAAAATAAATAAGTAAACATTTAAAAAATGAAGGGTACCTGGGTGGCTCAGTTGGTTAAGCATCCCACTTCAGCTAAAGTCATGTTCTCACAGATTGTCAGTTCGAGCTCCGCATCAGGCTCTGTGCTGACAGCTCAGAGCCAGGAGCCTGCTTTGGAGTCTGTGTCTCCCTCTCTCTCTGACCCTCCTCTGCTTGCACTCTTTCTTTCTCTCTCAAAAATATATAAACATTAAAAAAATTTTTTTAAATTATTAAAAGGCAGCATAAAGGAATGTACTAGGTTTTGGGAATTATTCTCTATCATATTTGTGCATTGAAACTTCTAGAAGCAAGCCCTTAAGGCCTGTGCATTTTCTTGTATTTCACTGCAGATAAAAATACATAGAACACATTTATTGTTTCTATTTCCTAGATATTCTAGTCTATACTTAAAGAATCTTTTCAACGTTCAGAATCAGTTTTTTTCTTAAATAGAGGAATTTTTATTCTACCATGTATTCCTTTTCCCCCATGGATTCGGAGCTTTTCCAATCACCAGAAATTCCAATCATCCTGGTATTTTTCACATTCTCCAGGGCTCGGCCTTTTGTCCTCCTCATTGGTGTTCAGAAGAACTTCTAAGCTGGTTCCCCACATTGCAGAGGTTGCTTCTCTTTGCCACGTCCATGTGCTGACTTTAATTCCGAATTTATCCACTGTCTAGTAATATTATCTCGGTGCACACAGCTCCCTTTGTGTGTCTCCTGCTGATCTGGAAAAGAAAAACACAGGCTTTGGAATCACATC